ACTCTGCCGGAGGCAGTCCTGAAGAGCCCTGTACCGCTGAGACCTCAGATGAAGACAGGTCAACGGAGCGGTTTGCCTTAGTCGATGAGGAATGGGTTAAAGACCAGTTGAGCAATCTGGACATCCATAAATCCATGGGTCCAGATGGGATGCACCCGCGGGTGCTGAGGGAACTGGCGGAGGTCATTGCTAGACCGCTCTCCATCATCTTTACCAAGTCTTGGGAAACGGGAGAGGTGCCTGAGGACGGGAGGAAACCAAATGTCACTCCTGTCTTCAAAAAGGGCAAGAAGGAGGACCTGGGTAACTATAGACCGGTCAGCCTCACCTCCATTCCTGGGAAAGTGATGGAACACCTTATCCTTGGTGCCATCTTAAGGCATATCAAGGATAAGAGGGTTATGAGGAGCAGTCAACATGGCTTCACCAAGGGGAAGTCATGCTTGACCAATCTTGTAGCCTTTTATGAGGAAATAACACGGTGGATGAATGATGGCAGAGCGGTGGATGTGGTCTACCTTGACTTCAGCAAAGCGTTTGACACAGTCTCCCACAGCATCCTTGCAGCTAAATTGAGGAAGTGTGGTCTGGATGATCGTGTAGTGAGGTGGACTGTGAACTGGCTGAAGGAGAGAAGCCAGAGAGTTGTAGTCTATGGGGCGGAGTCTAGTTGGAGGCCTGTATCTAGTGGAGTGCCTCAAGGGTCAGTACTGGGACCAGTATTATTTAATATATTCATCAGTGATTTAGATGAGGGAATTGAGTGTACTATCAGCAAGTTTGCTGATGACACTAAGCTGGGAGGAGTGGCCGACACGCCAGAAGGCTGTGCTGCCATCCAGAGAGACCTGGACAGGCTGGAGAGTTGGGCGGGGAATAACTTGATGAAATATAACAAGGGAAAGTGTAGAGTCCTGCATCTGGGCAGGAACAACCCCAGGTTCCAGTATAGATTGGGGAACTACCTGTTAAGAGAGCAGTGTAGGGGAGAGGGACCTGGGGGTCCTGTTGGACGACAGGGTGACCATGAGCCGACACTGTGCCCTTGTGGCCAAGAAGGCCAATGGCATCCTGGGGTGTATTAGAAGGGGGGTGGTTAGTAGGTCGAGAGAGGTACTCCTTCCCCTCTACTCAGCCCTGGTGAGACATCATCTGGAATATTGTGTCCACTTCTGGGCCCCTCAGTTTAAGAAGGACAGGGACCTGCTGGAGACAGTCCAGAGCAGGGCAACTAAGATGATTAAGGGAGTGGAGCATCTCCCTTATGAGGAAAGACTGAGGGAGCTGGCTCTCTATAGTTTGGAGAAGAGGAGACTGAGGGGTGACCTTATTAGTGTATATAAATATATAAAGGGGGAGTGTCATGAGGATGGAGCCAGGCTCTTCTCAGTGGCAAACAATGATAGGACAAGGGGCAATGGGTACAAACTGGAGCACAAGAGGTTCCACTTAAACTTGAGAAGAAACTTCTTCTCAGTGAGGGTGACGGAACACTGGAACAGGCTGCCCAGGGAGGTTGTGGAGTCTCCTTCTCTGGAGACATTCAAAACCCGCCTGGACACGTTCCTGTGTAACCTTATCTAGGTGTTCCTGCTCCAGCAGGGGGATTGGACTAGATGATCTTTTGAGGTCCCTTCCAATCTCTAACATACTGTGATACTGTGATATGATGGGAGAAAGGTATGGTTTAATTGTTCTAGAAGTTTTAAAGAGACTATTTGGAAGAGCAGAGATTTGCACAGGCTGGCACCAGCTGCTATTATAACACACAAAGTGAGGAAGTGAATACTGTAAAACAAGCAAAACTACTTAGGTTGAACAGAAGAATTATTATTTTCTAGGCAGGCCTAGAGGTGTAATGGCCACTTAACATTCTGCCAGATAGGAAGCAGAGTTTTTAATTCAAACTCTGTACCTTGCTCCTGGGGAAGGCAAGACAGGGCAGGACTGTGGAAACACTGGAAGGAGGATAGCTCACCTTCACCTTCTGCAACAAGTTCTAATTAACATGAGGATCAGTATGGACAGAATTCAAGGGAAACCAAGAACAGGTCACGAGAGACTTATAAGGAACCGATTCTATTACTTAACCTACAAATAATGCTAGGAATTAAGACTGGGAAATTGATGTAGGTCTCAGAAGATTCTTCTCTGATTATTTTAGAGAAGTGAATATTACTACCTGTCTGGGGAACAAGGTGAGGAGCCTATCACACAAACACTATTAATTACTTCAAAAAAAAAAAAAAAAATTCAGGGCATTACCTAGTGGTTTCCTCATAACAGGTTCAGGACAAGACAAAAGGTACTTTGCTCAGACACGCCACGTGATTGTGACTGTCATTTGCACATTCCTCAAAACCCCTTGTTTGGACCTTCACAGAGTGTGACACACACAAGCAAATAACTTGCATGGAGAAAAAAAAAAAATTAGTTTTCAACGGTAAGCTATTAATAATTAAAATCAGAAAATACTAGCTGAAAACATTACAGGAAATGCAATTATTGCCAGCATTCTGTGTCCTTCTATCTTGAACAGTCAGAGACTCTTAGATGTTAAAAGAGAATGCTTTATGCTGAGGAGAATCCAGGTGACTTTAGGAGTTACCTAAAAAAAGGTCCTTCTTTTTCATTGTGAAGGTTCTCAAGAAGTGTTTTAAAACACAATTGTATTTGTAGGAACAATTACGGGTTTGTACTGCAAGGGGAGCTGTTGGCACATAATACTACGATTGTGCATTAGATCATCCACTAGCTTTGTAATATGCGCTTACAGCTATGAGGAGTCATGTTTCAACACCTCGGATCCTCTGATGCTGACAAGCTAAACAACTTGTTTTGTCTCTGTGAGCTCTTCTCTGGTGATTAACTGCTTATGGTGAATACTAATTATATGAAAGTACAGTACAGTAGAAATAGTGTCCTATTTCCTTTACCTGCATATCTCCATCCTCTTCTTTAGAGACAGAGAACTATTAATTCAGCTAAAAACCAAGAAGATGACATTTCTCATGACCACAGATAGGTTAATCTGTCTCTTACAGCAAAAGTTTCTTCATTTTCCTGTCAGCAGAGTAAGTTTAAAGGCAAAACACTGCACATTTGTAAATGCCTGTAATAATTCTAGAAATAGATTTGCAGCAGGATGTGTCCAAATGAGTTCTGTTGGTGGTAAAGGCAGAGCAATGTCCTCAGTTCTCCATGTCCCAGTTTGAAAATTTACCCCAAATTATCCATTCCTGAAACTGCACCTCAGACTGAAACCTTTCCACCAGGGAGTCTATGAGAATTTGTTCTTCAATTTTAAATCTGAAGTGCCTTTTAAAAAGCTAACACTGCAAAATTAGAAACCATTAAACAATATAAGGCAGAGAGTGATTAAATTTTCCAAACACATTCAAAGCAGCTTAAGCTACCTTTTAATTAAAAAGGAGAAGATATTACTGGCAACATTCAGACATTTTTACCTGAATAAAGATTAGAAGATTATTCACAACACAAAAGATGCTGATCACAGAATTAACTAGGTTGGAAAAGACCCCTAAGATCATCTAGTCCAACTGTTAACCTAACACTGCCAAGTCTACCCTGACCCCAAGCACCACATCGACTTAGTAATTCCTCCAGGGACAGTGATTCCACCACTTCCCCGGGCAGCCTGTTCCAATGCCTGACCACCAGTTCACACAGTGAAGAAATTGTTCCTAATATACATCTAAACCTCCTCTGGTGCAGGTTGAGGCCATTTGCTCTTGCCCTGTCTCTTGTTCCTTGGAAGAAGAGATCAGCCCCTTTTTGTCTCCATCCTCCTTTCAGATAGTTGTAGAAAGCACTAAGGTCCCCCCTGAGGCTTCTCTTTTCCAGACTAAACCCCCTCAGTTCCCTCAGCCATTCCCCATCAGCTTGTGCTCCAGGCCCTTCACCAGCTCCGTTGCCCTTTTCTGGACCCACTCCAGCACCTCAATGTCTCTCTTGTAGTGAGGGGCTCAGAACTGAACACAGGATTCAAGATGCAGCCTCACCTCTGGGCATTTTCAGTGCCCAGTACAGGGGCACAATCACTGTCCTGGTTCTGCTGGCCACAATATTGCTGATACAGGCCAAAAGGCTGTTGGTTTCTTGCCTGCCTGGGCACAAGCTGGCTCATGTTCACCTGCCGATCAGTACTCCCAGGTCCTTTTTTCCAGCCACCCTTCCCAACCAATCATGACGCATGAAGGAGACTGAATGAAATGAGTTGGAAGATTTCAATCCCTCCACTCTAGCTACACAGTATTTAGGCAGAGAGGAAGAGAGCCCAGCCAGTGCTGCAGTGTGATTACTCTCTGCTGATAAAACAAGTGATTCTAACAGTGGCCTTGGCAGAAGGCTGTGTGCTCCTCTTTCCTTCCTGACAGGATGGTGGGTAAAATCACAGTGGCTATAGCAATTAAGTAGTGGGTTACAAGTTGTGTGTATTAGGGAGGAAAGAGTATCAGTTTTTCAGGAGCCAGTTTTAACAGGTAGAAGGCAGCAACACCTTATTGGTATTATTATAAAGCAAATTTAAATGGAAAACAGCATATACTTTTAAAGGTACATTTAGACCCCAGCCTTGTGGCTCAAATTCAGGTTCCGAAATAAACAGAGACAGTTCTGCAGAAGCACTGTCATTATGTGCCCTTGTTTTGTAGCCAAATTCAAACATGCACCTTTAAGTTTTTGTATTCAGTTGAAGAAAAGAACAAGAAAAATGACCGGCAGTTTCAGTCAACCACAAGCAAGATGCCAGGAGCCAAAGATCAGCCTTCTTCAGGCTGAGATGGTATTATCTACTCCAAGGTCCTGAAGCTCTGTGTCAGGACTACCACTAAATTTACTGAACAGCCTCATCTCTTACTTTCTTATTACGTATGATCATTACTATGTACCTCAATTTAATACAAAATCTGTGTATTTAACAAATATTACATCCAAATTATTTTTATTCTTTACTTTGTCTAACAGAAGATTGGTCTTACCTAGAAAGCATGCCCTAAAATAGAGCACAGGTACTTGGTAGCTGCTGGAGTACAAGACATGATATTCATAGCGAATCACTTCTTCTGTTGCACAAACTCCAGCTACTTGAGAATCATCCAAAGACTCCTAAAACAACAAACACAAACACAGTAATAAATCAACTTTTGTATCTGTGTATAAAGAGAGAAGTAATTACTACTATCATAATAAATTCAGTAAATACACAGAACAGAAATAATGGCCATCACCCCTTTCACAGCAGTACTGATACAGACTCCCAGGAAAAAAAGAAAAATCAAAGTCCAAACCCTACAGAGACATCTTACAGACTTACTTCCACAAAATGTGAACTGTGTGTAAGCATCTGCAGAACTGAAGTCTTCCTAAGTTCAGGCTGCCTTTCTAAGCAAAAGACAAATGCTCCCTAAAATGTTTATGGCACAATAACTGGTACAAGGGGACTACAGCTCCAGCTCTCCTCAGTACCTTTAGCAGAGATCACTTCAAAAATGTATCTTTAAATAATATGGTTTTGCTTGCCAAAAGACAAATAAGATGTCAAACACTGGTTTTCAAGTTTGTAGGGGTGGGGATGAGAAAGAGTCCTTATTCAGAACTGAACCTACATTAAATTTAAAAAGGCCCTTCAGATGAGCCTTCTGGAATTAAAATCATACTGCTTTACAGACCTCAATGTTTCACCAGATATTATGGCCTTGCCTACTGCTTAGTCACTAGCTTACGTTGTCCTAGAAGAATACTTCTCCTGGAAATGGCAAGACTGCCCATTCATGTATTAAATATTATTGTTCTAGAAAAAAAGCTGTATGTACACACATACTTCTCCCTCCTATATACGCTTCTACATACAATGGCAAAATGACTGCATACCTTTACACAAATACTGATATGTAATTTGTGACTATTTTAGACTGATAAAGAAGCCATAGTCTTTATTACCTCCAAATACTTAGGAAAATAAGTAAGTTAATATTTGCTCAAAAATGAAATACTCAAACCTGTATACCCTGAGGGAAAACACACTTTACTAAAACCCTGCTTATTATCTCAGAAAGCCATAAATTTAGCTAGGAACAACTTCATCATTAAAATTCAACTTACTGGGTTAGCACAGATTTCAGGTGGTAAGTATCATTTGCTGGATTAGGTAAAGGAAGAGGGAAGATTTTCTATTTTCACTGTTCCTTCAGACAGCCATGAAAAAGTCATAAGAATTCCTGCCATTACCAGACACAGGTACTTCCCCAAACATCCTATTATTTCCAGAGAAAGCTGATCTTATCCCAAAGTGGCCTTTCCAGTAGATGCACACAGTGTGATGGCAGGAGAAGCAGCAGAGAAGGCAGCAGTTTTACTGCTTTATTCTTTTGGAGAGCAGAATATATTTGGACACATTTATTCTGTATTACACTGGAATTTTTTGTTTTGACTGATGGTTTAAGCAGTTTCTGAAAGCAAGTATTTGGCTGAATACAAAGCTCAAAAAAAAACTCTGAAACTGACACTTCTGCTCCGTAACAACATGGACTTCAGTCGTGTACTAAGTTCCCACACTTACTCAAAATATGTTTCTGATACTCAGATCTTTTTCTGCTGTTTCTGGTGACAAATTGTCACACTGTATTTGTGATTTGCATACAGAGGCAGATAGCTGAATCTTCTTAGGGCTACCTCTAATCTCCTTTCCATCTGTAAACAGCAGTTTCAAGATTTCTCACATAAAAAGATACAGCGCTGATGTGTAATCCTGTACTTTAGTCTCTGTAAGCACAGCATACAGTATCTATGCAGGGAAAGTACATTTTGGAGCTTAAAAGTTTTGATGGTATCTCTCTAGCTGAAGAGATGAACTTTGCTGATGAGATAAATGAGTGTGTGTGGTTTTTAGGTGGTTTTTGGAACATCTGAAAAACTATGCATGGGTTAATAAAGCAATGGAGCCTCAGAAAGTTTCGTATCAGCCCAAAAGAAGAGATTCATTTTTTATTCTTTAACTGTTGTCCTATCTCTTTTTGAGCTAAAGTTGAATTTTAGCTACTGCATCAAAAAACATGAAATCAATTTTAAGTTTGAAAGATTCTGTAACTGCCACAAAACACTTATGCATATACACAAACTACAAAACAAATCCATCATTTTGCTTAGACCTGTCAAAGACAAAGCGAACATACCTGCATTAAGAAATAAACAAACAAATAAATAAATAAATAAATAAATGGGGGGGAGGGGGGATTGCTGGAACTGCCATCATTAAAAATGCTATGAAGTAATTTGATTTCTTAATTTTGTGTTTTTGCTTTGCAAATCTGCTTGCATGCTTGCCATGATTCAAGTTAAAACCAGGACTCACTGGCTGTTTCCTAAACTAACAGGGAAGTTGTCATCAGGAAGCACCTGCTCCCCCATTGCTCTCCCATAAAATCATTTTCATGCTACCATAACAGACGACTGAGCAGATGTTTAAAAGCAATATATGTATTAGAAAAAAGCAGCAACTACCTAAATTATATCGGTTCCATCATAAATGAATTATCACTAATTTTAACTCATATAAAATTGTTCTCAACCTTTAAGGAGCCCCTAAACAAATTAAGTCAATTTGCTCCTTTTAAAATGCTAACATTATTTAAATCAATACACAACAAATGACGGTGCACATCATTCTGAAAGCAAAATAACACATTTGTACTATTTTTATCCCTCCTGATGAAGTCCAGTTTAAAACCCCTTGCAACAAGTTCATTTGACAGCAGGAGAGAGTTAATAGTGTGTTTTGATACTCCTTAGAGAGAGCTGTTCTCCAGAGACTGAAGAGCAGCAGGAAGGCATGGGTTAAGGCAGGTCACCTTAGGAGCAAGGCCAGCCTTCCTTGTTCAGCCTAAATTCCCTTTGAAATGCAGAAGCATGCCCTAATGCCCTTTTTGGGGAGAAAAGCTAAGAGAAGTGGTTTTAAGAACAGCAGGCACATTTCTCCTGGATATCAAGTCACTGTTGCCTTTCTTCCAATTCCCATGTTCCTCCTTTCTTTTCTTGTCCTGACCTCTATTTACTCCTGCTGCAGACCAGCCTCCTGCGAAATTCTCCTGCAGGAGCACAGCAGGATTGGGCTGCAAGCTGGAAAGGGAGGAAGAGGCGACACAGGCACAGTGACTGGTACTGTTAGTTTCGGTGTGAGGGGGAAGAAAGGAGGTGGAATCCAGATTAGTAAGCAAATCTGATTTCACTGCTTTGGAATACATTTACACTTAATTTCGTTTCAGCCTCCAACGTTGAAAATAAACATATCGCTGTTTCCCCAGAGTAGTGTTTCTTCAGATGACTGTAAGCTACCATGTGAAACACAAGAGCTTTCAGGGAGCAGCTCCCCTCCCCATCCAACGCTTTCCCTTTGGCAAATAGGGAGATCTGAGCATGAAACTTAATGGTAGGACAGCATTCATCAGATGGAATTAAAACAGAACTTAATGTGGCGGGTGTGGCAGCACGGTGAGATTATGTGCTTTCTTCTTCCTCCTGGGTGTTCTCCACAGTTATTTGGACCATGTCCCACTTTTTTCTCTGCAGACCCCATGGGTTTAGTCTGTGCAGGTCATTGTGCTGCTGGTTTTCATCCCTCCTGTGCAGAGCCTCAAGTCCCTACCTTTACACAGACCTTGACTCTCTGTATTTGATCCTCCCTTTCCATTCCATGTTGAAAACACAGTGTGGAGTTGAGACAGTCAGAGACGTAACCAGTGAGAAGAACAGGGGGTTGCCTGACCAGCAACCCCACGTCATGTCTTCGTGCAGGAGGTGCTCCAGTCCTCTGATCATCCTCATGGACTCCACTGGAGTTGCTCCAACAGCCCCTTGTCCTTACACTGAGGACACCAGAACTGCACCCAGTACTCCAAGTGGGGTCTCACAAGAGCAGAGTAGAGGGGCAGGATCACCTCCTTCGACCTGCTGGTCACATTCCTTTTGATGCAGCTCAGCATACAGTTTGCTTTCTGGGCTGCAACCACACACGGAAGCTGGCTCTTGTTCAGCTTCTCATTGACCAAGAACCTCAGGTCCTTCTCAGGGCTCCTCTGCCTGGGATTACCCCTACCCCCATGTATGACCTTCCACTTTGCTTTGTTGAACTCCATGAGGCTGGCATTTGCCCACCTCACAAGCGTGTCGAGGTCCCTCTGGATGGCATTCCTTCCCTCCAGCGTATCAACCGAACCACACAGCTTGGTGTCATTGGCAAAATTCCTGAGGGCGCACTCAACCTCACTGTCCATGTCAGTGACAAAGATGTTAAACAAGACCGGTCCCAACACCAATCCCTGAGGGACACCAATCGTTACTGGTCTCCAGCCCGACATTGAGCCACTGACCACAACTCTTTGTGTGCGGCCATCCAGCCAGTTCTTTATCCACCTAGTGGTCCATTCATCAAATTGATGTCTCTCCAATTTAGAGACAAGGATGTCGTGTGGGACAGCGTCAAAAGCTTTGCACAAGTCCTGGTAGATGACATCAACTGCTCTACCCCTGTCCATCAGTTCTGTAGCCCCATCATAGAAGGCCACCAAATTGGTCAGGCAGGACTTGCCCTGAGTGAAGCCATGTGGGCTGCCACCAGCAACCTCATTGTTTTTCATGTGCCCCAGCATGCCTTCCAGGAGAATCTGCTCCATGATCCTGCCAGGCACAGAGGTGAGACTGAATAGGGGTGAGGCACAGAGACACAGTACATAGGAAACCTCTTCTGGAAGAAACTACAGCTGAGACCCTGCAAAGCCAGGAGATGAAGGAGTGAGAGGGACACAGCCCACACGCTGATGGAAGACAGACTAAGCTAAGCCATCTGAAATTCTTAGAAGAAGGGTCCACCCAAAGCTAAGGACACACATCTCACAGAAAAACAAAGCAATCTCAGATGTGAGCTGCAGAGATTGATTTATTTCCTCTACTTCTAACCAATATCCTTTGTCAATATTGTTTCTTGGAATTACTCATTTAAAATCACAGACTGGTTTGGGTTGGAGGGGACATTAAAGCTCATGCAGTTCCAATCCCCTGCCACCAGGTTGCTGCAAGCCCCATCCAGCCTGGCTTTGAGCACCGTCAGGGAC